ACTTAGAGCCGGGGGGCTATATACCTGTTATGACTTCTAGCCCTACTTAGATACCTACGTTATCTAGCTTTGTAGGTGGTAATAACCACCGTTAAAATCTGGGCTAAAGTGTTGCAAAGCGTATCATAAACTTTGCAACCTAGCTTACTTACTTCTTACATTTTTAATAATTTATTTGATAGCATTAAAGCCTTAAAGCTAAAGTTAGACACAGTATAATAGGTACATAGTCCCCTGCTCTGATCCTTACCTAATCTGGGTAGTGTCGATCTACATAAGGTGGCCAGAATAGCCAGACAGTGTGGCCAGAATAGGTGGGCTAATGCACAGTGACGCTAATCTAACGTGGTTGCATTTTGGTAGATACAAACCCGTAAAAACTTGGCATCAACAACACCAGCTCCCCACCACGCCGCCGCGCCGCGCTCGACCATGTCTACCGTCGCAAGCGCTTTCCTCTTCCCCTCTTACAAGCACCTGGGCATGGTTTAATATCGTAGACTAGCGGTTGTTTCTATCCCATCTATGCTCTAATTTCCATTGATATACAAGTCAAATATACACATCGAACATCCCTATCCTATTCTTCCAGAGTTATAGCATCCATCTAGGCGGCATCTGGACAATCCTAGATACCAACGCTCATTATTATCGTGTCTTGTCCCCTCCGGCTGTCCTAGACTCTGGTGTAGCTCGTCAGTGTTCCTTGCGCGCGCAATGGCCGTGCAGGGTGGCGGGGGAGGGGCTGGAGGAGAGGACGTGTATGCTACAGTTCGTCAATCACTACTATCATGACAAGTCACATTCGCGTCGTCATCCATCTAACCATGTGCGCTACTAGCTGTTATTGACCGACACGTACTTGCCCGGTAGGATCTCTGTCCTCAATTGACTTACAATACAACTTCTGATGCCGTGTATCTAGGCGCGCTGGTCCTGGCGCAATCTCTACGCGATGCCGGTACGACGAAGAAGCTAGCGGTGCTAGTCACCCTCGACACTGTCTCCGCCGAAGCCATCACTGAGCTCAAGGTGAGCTCGTCAAAATGACAAGCCGGCAGCTGAGTATTACGCTGATCCCGTTCCCCAGTCTGTGTATCATTATGTTATTCCGGTGCCTCGAATCCGCAATGCGCAGCCAGCCAATTTGCAGTTGATGAACCGGACCGACCTACACTCTGCCTTCACCAAGGTCAACCTTTGGAACCAGACCCAGTTTCGCAAGATCGTCTACATAGACGCCGACGTCGTCGCTTATCGAGCCCCCGACGAGCTCTTCGACATTGCACACCCCTTCTCGGCAGCCCCTGACATCGGATGGCCCGATCTGTTCAACACGGGTGTCATGGTTCTGACCCCCAATATGGGTGACTATTATGCTATGATGGCTATGGCGGAACGGGGCATATCCTTTGACGGAGCCGACCAGGGCCTTATAAACACGCATTTTCGAAACAACTACAATCGTATAAGTTTCACCTACAACGTTACCCCGTCTGCTCATTATCAGTACATACCCGCCTACCGCCACTTTCAGTCGAGCATCAACATGGTCCATTTCATCGGTTCGGACAAGCCATGGTTTAAGGGACGGCATGCGAGCATCGGAAGCTCGCCGTTCGATGAGATGACAGGGAGATGGTGGGCAGTCTACGATCGGCATTATCGGGCGGCCGTAAGTCGCCCTTCGCGCTCAGAAATCATGTATTGGACATTCTGCTTACTCTTTCCAAGTCACCGCAGCTCACGTCCTTGGCACCTACCCATGCTCCCGGGGTAGTGGCGGCTCCCAAGCCGGTTCCGGAACTCGTGCAATATCTAACCAAGGGAGAATACCAGCCTAAGAGCTCGCATATAGAGCCATTCAGTAAGCAACATAGCGATGAGCATCGTGGCCATGAGCATTACGAGAATCCCCCAGCGACTCGATTTCAAGTACAGCACCATCACCATGATGTTTCCAGCTCTGCAGTGCACAGCCAGCACCATTATCATGATGCTTCCAGCCCTGTAGTGCACAGCCAGCACCATTACCATGATGCTTCCAGCCCTGTAGTGCACAGCCAGCACCACCACCAGCATCATGATACCCATGACCACGAAGCGCCCTCGTCCCAAGCCAGCACGCAGCAGCATGAGCCCTCTAGTTTTGTTTCTGGCGATTTGATGTCGTCTTTAAGAAATAACGAGGACCGTGAAGCTAAGGCTGGCGAAGAGCAGATTCACGCTCAGGGATTGCCTCCACCCCCTCCTGAGGAAGAGCAGAAGCCCCCGCCATTCCAGCCCTCAATGTCGAGTTGGGACGCTCAAAGGTAGGCTTTTTCCCGCCCAGTAGACATGACGTATCAGCTGCTAATAGTATGATAGACAGCCCCCTCCAGCAGAGTCGAAGCCCGAGGCCATGAATTTCCCTGCCACAATATATGAAATGTCGAAAAGCACTGACCCTTTTATCGCTCCTCGGCATTACCCGAGCCCTCCAAAAGACATGTGGTACGAGGTTCCGAAGGAAGTCCCATCTCATCCCTCAGAACCGTTAAAACCTATATTTCCTTGGGAGACCAACCGACCTAAGCCGTCTCGTATATTCGTCGACGAGGCGTTTCGAATTTCGCAAGACACAGGGACGCGCAATCCAAACGCGCCTTTTAGTGAGCAACAGCCTGTGCACGAGGCAGAACCAACAGTTGAGTCTTCTATGACAGAAACTGCTACAGTGGAAGGACAAAGCGAGCCGGTGACACCCACCACCCCTACAATCCAAATCTCCCTGGCGGATCCATGGACTTCGTACACGCGGTCTAATGCTTGGGATGATGTACCGGAAATCGAACGATACGTCGATTCCATGCAGAGGCATCGAAGGTCAAGAAGTCGTAAATTCACCGGCACGATTAATTTGCCAAGTCCCGGTGAAAACGTAGATGATATCACACGGCCACGGCGAGGGAGTAAGCTAACCGACTTCCCAACCGAAATTGAGCGTCCCAGCCTGCCTGTTACACCTGCGCCTATCCATCGGTCAAACTTCTGGGGTGGTGGTCCAAGCACCAGCCACGGCGACAACGGCCCGCTACTGCCTTCCGCAGTGGGTGTTCCCGGTCAGAGCGATTGGGTATGTGTGCATGGCCGAAGGTGGACTGCCTCAGACTGTCGTTGCTAATTCGCTAACGCCCTGGGCGTTTCACAAGGATCCTGTGGCACAGCTTCAAAAGTTAGCTACGCAACATAGCGAAGAACTCCTTAAAAAGCTTGGTAGTAGCAGTGGCGAAGACAGCAATGAACTACCACCTCAGCCTGTGCCTGTGCCTTCGGGTTCTGAGGCGCTGATATCGCCGATTTATATGACGCGGTCAGCCCAAGTCCTGAGTCCACAACCGGTAAAAGGAAGTGTAAACTCGAGTTCTGTGCTCGGCTTCGTGACAGACGAGGAGATGACACCTCAGACTACTGCTGCCTTGCTTCCGGAGGAGGAGGATGTGTTACACGAACCAGTTCCTATTAGCGAAGGGTCGACCTCGGAGTGAGGAGCGTTCCTGCGCTCATCGACCAAAGTCAGCGTCCTGGCAACACATTCCATGTTGGGAGCTACTACTTCCCATTTTACTAATCTCACTTCATCAGGCAATGTGTTCACTCCTCTAGGAGCATCACAAAATGCAGGCGGCATTGTGAAGAAGCAAATGCGAGTGTTGGTTTTTAAAGCGATGGCACCTACAATGAAACGCTACGATGAATTCATAAGTGATACGGGGGTTATGGAGTGTGCAGTGGAAGTCTTATGCTCATATTCTTTTGTTACTCTGCTTTCTCCGAACGCGCTACACACCAACCAAGCCGACAACATCAAACTTACCTATACAAGGGCACTGATACTTCTCTCGGCGCTCTAAGTTCTTGTTCTCGGGTTTGAAATTCCGTTCTTGAGTATCCTCTCATCCATTTGAATGTTACAACTCGGTGTCTCTATACTATTTTCTCTGGGGATATTCAATGCATTTTCGGGTGCTTACTTTTTCTTATATCTGGCTGATCAGCATATTGCAGTGAGAGCGATACGATTCGTGTCATATCATATCATGGAGGCATTTTGTTTTTTGAAGTCATGTGGTGTAGGATGAAAGGCATAGTCTGATCTTGACATTTTCGTTATCTATTGATATGTCGTCTTTTTGTAACACGTTGTTTGACGACTTCCTCCCTGTACGATACGTATATGTATGTATGTTGGTTATATATTTATCTTCATGATCCTACCTACTTTCTAGAGTCCGTCCCCGTATTTGAAGGCGGTGTTTACGTACGGTAAGTCTGCGTATAGAGTTTCTTGGAAAGTCATTCTGTTAGACGTAGTTGCTAGATATATGTTGAATGCTGATCTTGACTCTCTATCTAAAAACAGCCGTGTTGTCGGTATTCGTGGGTGCATGGCATGTCTTTATTCTTTCTCCTGTAGGAGGAACGCATAGAGAGTCGATAAATACACTTTAGCTCGAGATTTAGGCCCTGCATCGTGAATTATTTACTGTCTTATGCCAGGCACTTTATTCTCCGACATGAAGCTGCCTATCTTATATTACCTTCTTACGTTGCTAAGGCGAGTGACAACGTATGATTCAGACGTGGTAGTATTGAATTTCTTCCCTTTAACCCTCCTCCTTCCTACTTTGTCTTATTCTCTTATGTTCCCGCTAATGATTGTTTAACACTATTCATATCACCCACTAGGAGATATTTCTTAGAGGTTATAAGTTGTGTCAAGACACTGGGTTCTATTCTTATGCTACGTGGTGTTTAAGATGATAGAACAATGGTTATAAATTCCTTTAGACACCGTCTCTCGTGGTCCCACTTCCACTAAAAGGATTAGCAGTTAGCCCTTATTCTCCTAAACGCATTCTCCGTATGCTAGCTTTAGCTTAATAGGAAGGTGAATGAACAAAAGATAATAATACTCCTCCTTGTGAAGATAAAGATGTATGGGATAAAATATCAAAAATTGACCTCGCTGGGGGTCGAACCCAGAATCTCCTGATCACCCTAAAGGATTCTTTGTTGAATCATTCTCGTAGTCAGACGCCTTGCCATTGGGCCACGAGGCCGTGGTTGTTGGAATTTGTCCGCTCCTAGGAAAGTTCAAGTAGCGAAAAAAACCGAGAACAACATGCATAGACTCACTCGAATTACTTTTGCTTTAGTCCGTGTTGTGGTTCTCTAGCGTGAGGGTCTTCTAAAGTTTGTATCACGTGAAAGAGGCAAAAAAGGGGAACCGCAACTCTTGCGCTATAAACTAGCAACACCTACCTGTCTTCTAACTAGGTGCATATTAATTACACTGGCGTGGATGATGGACCAAGTTATTCACTGATAATTACGTGACACTTAGCTGAGGGAAAAGCAATAAGATGAATGGAATAAGTAGGGGAATGGGAAACCCCAGAAAAATTTGCGGCGGTCATTGATGAAGTCCGAGCTTTACAGTGACATAGGAGAAGGCGTGGTTATCACTCGAGTCACCTGGCAGATAGATTTCATTGTCCGGGTCATAGCCATACTACAGGAGGCTGAAATTCAGCTAGACCGGTCTTTCTCCTAACTTAGCCAGAGCAGTGAGATTGCGTCATGGAGTTGCATCCAGGCAAGTAGATGAACGCTACTTCTGTGTCAAAAAGGCATATCGGTCATTGACAAGACACTTCGGCATGTGGGTAGATGATTCCGGAAATAACGTGGCCATGTGTTCTAGCGCATTTACACTTAAGTGTTAATGACGAGTCAAGTGTGGGAAAGGAAACAGCCCGCTGTCACAGATCTAGGGCGGCGTGAACCCAAATTTAAGCTCAACTTCACGTGGTAGATCTAGATGTCACAAATGCTACCTAACCAGCCCGTTTCTAAGATCCCCAGGGTTTTTAATGGAACCGCCAATCGGCTGGTGATGTTTGGTCAGATGCGTAACTCTCGAAGTCATTGTCTTCTTGTTTTGGCAACTTTCATAGCACAAGATTTCCTCTTTGGGCCAAGATAGTGTCTGGAGGCTTCTGAAGCCCTCGCAAGTCACGCTCGCGCTCCGCGTGGCGATAACTGACTCCGAGTGTTGCAGTATGTGACAACAATTCAAGACTTCGGCGATGGCTTCATTTGCTAATATTCGCGAACGACATATGTTTTGCAACTTTGATATTTCGTATAGATCTACATTTTGTAGCGGTTTTAACATTTAATTTTAGTAAGTTGCTCGATTATTATTAGATAGTCGCGGGACACTATATCGTAGCTCTAGGTATACAGCACATTATTCATACCCCAGCAAAATATGTCGTAGAAAAACCGAGAAACACGATTCTAGGGTATTTTGCTTTCCGGAAAGGCTAAGCCGCGATAGGCGCTACGTGGAAAGAATAAACCAACTACCAGTGTCCGGGTTTTAGCTCTCTTCTTTCTCGTCAATGATTTGCTGTTATGACTTATCTGAATCCGCTCGGATCCGCTCGGACTTAGGAATCTTGTAGGTAGTCACTAGCAATCATTGATCGATAGTCTAGATGGGGATTCTAGTCAAGTACCGCACTAAGTTTCTACTTGATTTGGTCCGTCCGTTTAGGCCCGTTCTCCGCCACATCCCGAAGAACCAGAGTCCTCGTAGCCTATATACGGAGTCAGGTGCTCAAGTGAACCCGCACTCACGGGGACAGGCTACCTAGAGTAGAGACGAAATTTCCGCTCCTAAGTAGTATTTGCTTGGGTAGCCGTCTCATTATAAGGATTATGGGTTCTACGCGAGAAAAAGGTGGTTTACGATCCCTCGAGTGCGTTTCAGGTTCACTGAGCCTAATCTAGGTATATCGGCCTTTTTGGTGGGTTCAATAGAAGTCACTGGTTTTGACAAAGTTGCACAGTAGGAGTTCTGCAACATTTGTAAACAATTGAGTTCGTTTCTTTGAAACAAGATGTCACTGATATTACTAGTTACTACTTTGTCTAGAGTAACTGTGATTACAATTTTTTTAAATTATGCCCAGGTATTAATTCGACGTAATGGCTTTTGAGTATTAGCTGAGAATTAAATATCATGTCTAGAACGAATCCGTGTCTTTGCCGAGCAACGAATACTATGCCGATATATCTGGATCTCCTAAATTACTGCTCCGATAAATGTAAACCCGACTTTTACAAAAAACGTTTCTCACTTAGTTGGTAGTTTAGCAGAACATCGCTATAGGCTACATACGAACACTTGATCAGTTATGTACAAGATGTGGTCCTTTGAACCGAACGTGTCAGATGCACGTTTGACATTCTCGTCTTGGCTGCGTCATGGTTACAGTTACAATCGTACGAGGTAGATGCAATTATACCTAATTTGCGTAGGTTCAGCGCAGGAGCTCGAAGCTATACAACTAGCATTCTGATATGTAGCTTGAGAAAGTCCTAATGGTTCACCATCGTGGTAGACGTTTATCAGAGACGAAATAACTAGATTGCAGCACCAATTTATGAGCTACTCATCTACACGGGTTAGTGCCACACTCTTTTACCAAGAAAATAAGTCAAATAATTTGTTAACAACCATTGTTTGCGGAAAATAAAAATTTCAGAACTCGGTGAATACATTTGTTTGGTCATGTTATGACCTTGCCTTGTGTAAAGCAAAGTAAATTTAAGCAAATTTGCTTGCAAATATTAAACCCGTTCGCCCGAATACAACATTGTGTTCATGCATACCATGGGTGATAGACTGGGGATCAAACGTGCCCTTGAACCTGGATGAGCTACGCGGCCCGCATCAAAGCATCAGATCAGATTTTCGGCGCATATACTCCCCCTTGAATTAGATGTAATAATTTGCTTTCTATATACTCGGTGGACTATTAGGTGTTGAATGGTGGTCTGATGTCATATTTTATACATCTCATGATTTAGATGTGAGGTATAGGGGTATCACGAGCGGCGCGCATATCCGCCTTATAGCATTACTCACAAGAAGTCCAATACGTAGTACTACTAGATGCGGAATCTTGCTTGGATATATTGATTAAGACACGCATACGCAGAATCTAATCGAGGCGGCTGAGTAAGTGTACTATGGAAACACGTATAATCCCACCAATGAGATACATGCCTAAAGTAACGCAGGTATCCTTGTAGAGTATATCCACGGTTGAAAGCTCCGACGGGGCACCGTCGGGTGTTGCACCACTCCCCCGGCCCGAGTCGTTTCTCAGGACCAAATCACTCGTGTGGACGAGCTTTCATCTTGACATCGGGAGGGACGAAGTTATGAAAGGCAGGATAAGCGAAATTTGTACGCACTTATGACCTGTACTTTTTATATCATAAATTCCCTACTTCTAATTCCTGAACACAGGTTTACTCACCCTTTTTCTCACGTCATTCGGGCTTAGATAAGCGACTTCGTACTACTCACCACTGTTGCAATAGTACGACACAGCGCCGGGCATACCGGGGCCGATTACTGGTCGTCGTACGGGTGTTTCTTGTCTGTGACACCTGCTCGACTGTGAGAGATAGCAAGCGGGAGGTGGTCTACAGGTAGAAGGGCGTCCCGTAACACGTCAGACCTCCCCACGACCGACACAACAGGTGGTCTACCCACAAATGTATCCCAGGTGCTTGGCCGGAGGATCCTGCCGGAAGATCCTGCATCAATGTCGAAGTGATTACAGCATCCTAGACCTTCTATCCCGGGGTCTCTGTTACGAAAGATGCGCCCAGGTATGTTCCGTAGCCTGCCGTTAGACCCGAGTTAGGAGGTTATGTTATGCAGGTAATGTTACTCTGCAGTGCTGAGGCCTGGGGTTTCTTGGCAGTCTAATACTAATAGTGCCCAATAGAGCCGTAGGCTTGGGCCGGTGAGGTCGCCGAACAGACACAGAGCTACTGGGTTAGACCTGGTTACCGAATTTGAAATCAGCCAAGGTGATGATAATGATTGCCCGTGCACAAGAATATGCTGCCAGGAACACTGCATGCAGCACAGAGCTGACCGAACTGCCCGGTGTGGAGGCGTATAACAGAAGAAGAGGGGTTCACCACTAATTTCGGGGTTTGTAGGATAGCAAGTACACCGGTACAGCGCTTTTCATTGTGAAGTGCAGATCGACACCGAGTCTCGTTTTGTTAGTACGTAGTGTCAAGTGATGACTTTAAGTTCGGAGCTCTCTACTGTAGTCCTCTGGTGGATTAGCTGAGCCACTAGGTACTTCCCCGCATGCTTAATGCCCACGTGTTAAGTAATAGTTAGTATAGGGGTATCGTAGTTGAGGTTGCATTCAATTAACCGCATTGGATGCGACGCGTAGGGACTCCGTTTGTCGTCTTGAGTCGTACTAGAACTGGAGTGCCGACTGTAAAGAGCTAGGTTCGGCTGGGCTATCCTAAACTAGTACTAGTCGTTTCTCACGTTTTGTTCTTCGTTCGCTGTGGTATGGAAATCCGGTGATCTTGTTCACTCTCGGAGACTGCGGTCAGACTACGGTAGTATACAGCCACTTCGACTCTTTAGAAACAACACCATGATTCGCCTCTCGAGCGAGCGTCAGGTCAATGCACGAATACCCCCTACGGAATTATATGGTACCTTATTTGACTCTGCATCCAGAATGTCTACTGTGACGTGTTACGTTCATTGGCTGTTTCAACTCAGCACAACTGCGGAAAAGCCTGTTTCCAATGCGTCTCGAGAAAATGGCTCTTGTCCGTGCTGTACAGTTGCCATTGTTCATCCATACATTACTTCGTAGATATACCTAGTCAGGTAGGTCTGTCCGGTTACCGTTCTAGATCAAGTGCTTAGACTAGTCTACAGCTCTTCTAAGCATCATTACCCACTCCGCCTCCCTTCCGCATACGGTACCTAGATGTTGGATCTAGATGTTGGATCTAGATGTTGGCTCTAGTGTGATTCCGCCTCTGCAGCTCACCCCCCCTAGCACGTATTAGTATATACCGATGACCAACGACGCGAGTCAGAGCAAACGGCTTCTTCGTCTTCCGCAAGCCTAGGACTAGCTAGATTCCCGAGTAATATAGAGCAAGATCTCTTGCTCAACGTTGTTAGTTCCGTTGCCACGGATCTGCC